GCAGTTAGCGTAATGGCTATGTCGCTGGACTCCCACGTAGTTGACCACGGTTCACGTCCCGGACCCGGTGGCTTAAAACTCACACCGGGTGCGTGTGTGTGCATGCCCAAGATCCCAAGAGGAGAATGAAGGAGAAGGGATTGCGGCGTGGCCATCCCCCCTGGGGGGTGATTTCTCGCTTTCTGTCTCTCTGTCTCTCTCTGTCTGTCTGGCAAGCGCACGTGCCCTATAGCAAAAACCTCTCCAAAAGAAAAGGAAAAAAAGACATTTGTGCCTCACATTGTATTTCTGTTGATGGCGCTATATGCTATATTTAGTCCCTTGGACTCTGGAGCAGTGACCAGATCTGCTGCTTATTCTGCCTCCATTTTCCATTCTGTAAGAGAGCAGTCCTAGCCGAGTGTCTTGGGCCTGTGCCCCGGCTGGATCTTCTCCCCTCCCCTCAGTTATCTCTGCTATTCTCTCCCTTGTTGCCTGCCCACCTGTCAGTCAAGGAGATCCAGGCTCCAGAACTGCAGGCATATCTTCTAGAATTTTCCATGTGGGAAATCTCGATCCCTGCCCACATCTTGCAGCCATTGTGTTTTCTTTATCAAACATTCACATAAAACAATAGTCAATTTGAAACTTCATTACACACCCATTCTTCTGTCTCCAGCCTGTGGATTTACCCAGATCCAGGGATTGGAGAGGAGGAGGTGGTGTGGGGAGAAGCTTATTTTTCCCCCCTCTCCGGGGCAAGTCTTGCTTTCTCTGGAGATAAGCTGAAGAAGCCACTGACTTTGTTTTTGAAGCTGAGAGGCCTCCGAAGGTTTAGGAAGCGAGGAGGGAAAGAAACCGTGGCAGTGACGACAATCCCCTTAGAAGGACAGGCCATGTGTGGTGGTGACTGAGAACTGGGCCTGCGGTCGGTAGGGCTGGCTTAGAGCCCCGCCAGCTGTAGGACCTTGAACACGCACCTTTGCCTCTGCAGCCTCAGTCTCCTCATCTGTAAATGAGGGTAGGAGATGGGCCTGGCTCGCATGCTGGTGTGACATGAAAGAGCTCCCCTACACCAGGCCTGCACACGAAGGCTCCCAAAGTGCTCGTCATCGTCCTCTCTGAAAAAAGAGCCCAACATGGTTTGGGGGAGCAAATTTGATTCTTTTTTATTTTGTTTCTTTGAAACGTTGTATTCTTCTACCACAAGCCTGCTCTAGTTAAGTAATAAAAAGTAAGTTGAGGGAGGAGGAATCAGGTTAAATGGAAATCTCATCCGAATGCTCAGCTCCAACACGGGGTCCTAGAGCTGGAAACAGTAAGAGATCTCGTAGTCTGAACTTCACACACTCTCTCAATAGCTTTGTAAATTGACTTCCCAAGAGGAAGGGGGATCTGGCCAACCAAAGGCATGCCACAGGTCAGTGGCAGAGCTGAAACTAGAATGGCAGACTGTGAGAGCTGGAAGGGACCCTCAAGAACTCTGGGTCAGCCTTCCCAAAGCAGGGCCACTCAGATAAGAGGACTCTATTGTTAGATGCTTGGGAAATGGTAAATTAAAGAAAGTTGCACAAATTTCATTATCAGAGAACTTGCCAGAGCTATAAACATGTAACAATGTCTTGGGCACTTTAAGAGCTGTTGGTAGTATACAGCCCCAAGTGGGTTTGTCTCCAAGCCCCTTCGAAAACATTAACAGCTGTTAGAGTTCTCCCTGCCCCACACAGAAAAATGCTGTATCTTAGATATATTCCTGATTGCGTTTTTCAAAAGACTTCTTTCTTTCTTATTGTTATTATTATTTTGTTTACCAGAGAAAGAGAGAGAGACAGAAAGAGAGAGGAGAGAGAAAGCGAGAAAGAAGCCACCAGGTCTAGGACTCGAACCATGGTTGGCCATGTGGGAGTTCAGCACCTTAACTGCAACCTCAACTGCTAGTCTCCTGGTTGTTGTGTTTTTGTTTTGTTTGTTTTTGCTATAGGGCACTAGCACTCACCAGAGGGACAGAGAAAGTCAGAGAGGCAGAAAGAAAGTAAGAAATTGCCCTGAGGGGGATGGCCACGTGGCAATCCCTTCTCCTCCGTTCTCCTCTTGGGAGAATGCAAGCACACACACCCAGCATGAGTTCTAAGCCACCAGATCTGGGACTCGAACCATGGTCAACTATGAGGGAGTCTAGTCAACTAACTCCTGGTCCCTCCCTTTTTTTTTTTTTTTTTTTAATAGTTTTCTATGACCCCGCTGCAGAATGCACACTGAATATTGCTGATCTTCAGGCTGAGGCCATGTGAAAAATCTGGGTTCTATTCCCAGCCCACCACAAAAGCTGGACCTGGTGGTGCACCTGTAATCCCAGCTACTCAGGAGGTTGAGGCAGGGGGATGGTGATGCAGCAAGACCCTGTCTAAAACACCACATAACACAAAACACAGATAGATAAATAAAATAATAAAAAGAATGTTCTAGATATTGTAAATGGTACGATTTGCATAGGTAAATGATATGTAATGTTATGATTTACATGTGTAAACACTATGATTCAACTTCTAGAGGGGTCATGTGTTCACTAGAGAGACACACAGAGAGAAGAAGGGAGAAAGCACCCCCTGGTGGAAGGGTGGTCACACTGCAATTCCTTCTCCATTTCTCCATCCCATCAGGACTTGGGGCATGCACGCATGCCTAGCGTGGTTTTCAAGATATTTGGCCGAGAATTTGATGGTTGGCCATGTGAGATCTGGCTCCTAGTGCATAGCACTGAACCTCTGAGCCACAGGACCAGCCCCTGGTTTTTGTTTGTTTTAATGAGAAACGAACATGACACTGAGAGCTGAGCCCCTTATCCCCTCCCAGATCCCATCACCTTGCCACTCTTCTCTGAGGTGACCGCCATCAACATTTAGGGTTCATTGTTACCAGACTGTTTAATACTCTCACTGCACATGGCTACATAAACAATATGTCTTATTCTGGAGGTCAGGAAAACATATTTAAACGGTGTGTTGTATGTATCTTTCGGCAACTTCCACATCATAGCTTTTTGGCTCGCCCCATGCAAATACACAAGTAGTATCAGGTCACTCATTTCAAATGCTGTATGTTAATATCCCAAATGCCCTCATTGTTGTTGTTGTTGTTGCTTTTTACTCATGTGCAAGGGTGTGCACATGAGGAAGAGCGAGTGAGGACGGGAGAGAGGTGAGTGCCCTCCACAGGATCTGGTCATCCTGCAATCTCCTTCCACTAGTTCTGCAGCCAGATTGGATCCTGGGCTCTTAACCTGTGTGCCCAGTGTGTTGCAGGCTGATCAGGCTGGGATGTGAGTCGGGATGGCCATGTAGGATCCAGTTTCTTTTGAGAAGCACATTAACACTGTAACAGGGACCTGGCCTTATTCTGTTTTTTGTGTTTTTTTGTTTGTTTCTGTTTTTGTTTTTGTGTTTACAATGGTGTTTCCAGTTTGTTACCATCTTAAAGGACATAGCAAAGAACATTCTCACGTCTCTGAGTAAGATTTTCTAGAGTAACACATAGGAGTGGCTCTTAGGCTTGGGCATCTTCAGTTTTACGAGAGATTGGTAAATTGCTCTCTTCCCTACCAATTTCCACCTCAGTCAGTACTGTCGAGGAGTTCTGGCTACTCCACACCATCACCAGCACCTGATTTTGTAAGATGATGAATGTACAGTGATATTTCATTGTTCTGAGAGAGAGATTTTTGCTATAGGATGTGCGCTCTCCAGAGAGATGGAAAGTGAGAAATCACACCCCCTCCCCAGAGGGGGGAATGGCCATGCCACAATTTCTTCTCCTCTTGAGATCTCTGGCGCACACACACACACACACACACACGTGCCTGGCATGAGTTTTAAGCCATCAGGCCTAGGACTCAAACCACAGTTGACTACGTGGGAGTCCAGGAACATAACCATTATACCATCTACTGGTCCCGGTACTTCACTTTTCAACTTGCATTTCCTTTATTACTAGAGAGTAGAGACTTTTTGTCATCTGAATTTCCTCTGCTGTGACTACGCTTGCTTATATCCTTTTCCCATTTTTCTATTGCATTGGTTTCCTTCCTTCCTTCCTTCCTTCCTTCCTTCCTTCCTTCCTTCCTTCCTTCTTTTTTCTGTCTTCTTTATTCATAATAGAGAGTATACATGCACTTGTGAGTGTAGGAAAGAGACAAAGAGATAAACTCCCTTCACAGAGTCTGGTCATACCATGATCCCCTTCCTCCAGCCTCCAGCCCCTCAGATGTTGGGCACTTGCTCGGCACGTTTCTGGCCATATGGGCTGAAGATTCAAACTGCAGTCACCATGGGAATCCAGCTTCTCTTGAGCAGTGCACAACCAGTCCCCCTTTGCTTATTTTTAAATAGATTTCTGTTGTTCTTGAGTTGTAGTTGTGTGTGTGTGTTTAAATATATTCTGGATATTAACTCCTTCTCAAATATGTGAGTAGCAAATATTTTCTCTCATTCCATCAGTTGCCTTTTCACCCTATTGATAGTGTCCTTTGATACACAGAAGTTTAAAAAAAAATTGGGGGGGGGAGAGGTGCATAGGGTGCACGCGCTCGCCAGAAAGACAGAGAGAGACAGAAAGCGAGAAATCACCCCCTGGGGGAATGGCCATGCCGCAATCTCTGCTCCTCCATTCTCCTCTTGGGATCTTGGGCACGCATGCACATGTGCCTGGTGTAAGTTTAAGTCACCCAATCCGGGACTTGAACCACGGTCGACTACATGGGAGTTCAGCGACATAGCCATTACGCTAACTGCTAGTCCCAAAAGTTTTAAATTTTGACATAGTCCAATTTATCAATTTTTTGTTTGTCGTGCATATCTGAGAAAGTATTGCTGAATTCGATGTCACAAAGTTTTTCCCCTAATAGTTGTATAATTTTAGTCTAACTTGTTTTTAGTTAATTTTTGCTTATAGTATAAGGAAGGAGTCCAATTTTATTCTTTGCATGTTGACATCCAGTTTTCCCAGTGTAAATTTGTTTTAAGTTTATCTATTTATTTCTTCAGACACACAGAGTGAGAGCCCCCAAGAGGGTCTTAGTGCCATGATCCACCCCAGCCTCAGCCAACCTGAGCACACATGCATGTACCTGGTGTGTAGAGGGAGACCGCAGGACACGAGCCTAGGACTTTTCTATGTGTGTCTGGCACTGAAAAGCTTCACATTACTGCTGCACCACCATCTGGCCCTTTTGAAATCTTTTATTTAAGACTTTTGCACCTGAGAGATGCTGCTTTGATTCCACCTGTGACCCATTGGTGTAATTCTCTCACCATCCTCCCTAACAACTCGTCATTTAGCTTAAATTTTATTTATTTCAAAATGAGGCCTGGGGCTCCCTGCATCAGAAGCACCAGGAAATTCATGAAACATCTGCTGGGGCCAGGTGGTGCTGCAGTGGTGATGCAAGTGGACCCACAGGCGCAAGGTTCTGGTTTGGGTCTGAGATCTCTGAGTACACCCCACAATGCCTGTGGTCTGAACTGGCTGAGACAGGGCATGGGGACCTTGTTAGCCCCCCAACCTCTGAGAAAATAATAGATAAAGCTTTCAAAGAACCTGATATCTGGGCCCCGTTAATCCTAGAGCCAGGGAATAGGACCTCAGGCACCTGAGTGCTTAATAATGGCCCAAGTGATTCTTATAGACACTGAAATTTGAGACAAATTGTGATAAAATTTCTTGTAAGTCTAGAGATCTAGCACAGTGGTTCTCAATCCAGGGTCAATCTTTGACCCCCAAGGGATGTCTGTAAATGTCTAGAGGTGTTTTTGTTTGGCCCACATTGAGGAAGGAGGGAGGTACTACTGGCACCCAGTGAGTAGAGGCCAGAGGTGCTACTGAGCAGCCTGGAACGCACAGGACAGCTCCCACTACAGAGCAGTACCCACCCGATGGCGGGTGTGTCTGAGTGGAGAAATGCTGGTTAACAATGAAGAGTTCAAATCCTTCTAAATGTTGAAGCATATGTGATTTTTTTTTTTAATTTGCTAGAGGATGCATGCACTCATCAGAGATAGAAAGAGGAAGAGAGACAGAGAGAAGAAACCTGAGAAAGCACCCACACCCCCTCCCCCAAAGGGGGATG